AAGAGAGAGATTTCAAGACACTTCTCCATACAATAACTAAGACTAAACGAATACTACAGGCAACAGATGTCTTACCGCATTATTAAGATGAGATGGATCTCCCTAAGCAGTCGAGAGAAATAGGAGTGAAAATAAAGGTCTGATGCACATAGATATGATATATAGACGTACTCAGCTAAAACACCACTCGTTTGAAAGTGTCACAAATTCCAAAGAAAATTTGTAATGGAGCAATTAGGACCTTCACTAGGCAAAACCCCCAATATTGGATCGAGCAGGTAGAAGAGCATTGGATAATGGCCGGTTACATCCCAAATTATAATAGCTTTCACCCCGACAGTCTTCGTGTAAATTTACAATCATGTATCTACTCCTATTTTTACACACAATTCACATAAGGATATGTATGTGAATCTCTCAAGTACGGACCGTCCGACTCATCATCCTATTTGGAATTGAATTATATAGTGGAAGTGTGGGTCTCCTAACATTCATATCATATCAAGATTTGTTTTGGGGTGGCCCCCCCCATACCAGTAGAGGATAATCTCTCACCCAATCCCCCCTTCACATGTTTGCCGCGTAAACCAGTGCTATATTTATAGATTTCTGTCTATGTTAGCTTCGAAGCAGGTTTATACTCTCAAGGTGACCTGCGTTTGGCATTCTAATAGAGCGAGGGCCTACGAAGTATGTTCCAGCCATTGTCATTTCATTATGCTTACTGAAATAACAACACATTGAATGAGATAGTTTATCACAATCTCACCTTGACATATATCCAATCTTTCATAAAACAACACTGGAATACTATGTTGCCAATTCTTCATTTAAAAAAGAGGTTAGAATTAAATTAAAAATAGCAAAAGAATTTATCAATTAAATTAAATATTAAAAAAATCTAGAGTAGAGGAAATATAGTATTCGAATTAATGAGGTTTATATCAAAATCTACTAAATCCTAATCTCGTGAGCCCTGATGAACTATCTCTCTATCGAGAATTATAGGATTGATTTCCCACACATTGAGCGAGTCTAATATTTATCCTGAATCAGGTCTCACTAGACTGCAGAGAACTGGTATAGTCTTGCTGAACAAGTCTAAATAGATGTTACCACACGAAGTGTCCGGAAATTCGCAAACCAATAATATAAGTA